TCTTAAGTGCATTGGCCTTGCTTTTGCCTCTCTCTCATATGTGGAAAGGGATGCATTCCACCTTCCACAGTCTGAGTCTCGTGCAAAAGGAGCTGGTGGCAAAACCTTTAGACTTTTGGAAGGTTTTGTGTTTGGAATTCTGGAGAAGAAAGATTCAACCTATACTCCTTTGGAAACCCCTTTAGTAAAGAGGCAGAAGTCAGAGCATGGTATTGGAAGATAAGATAGGATGGCATTTCTACACAGCTGTTTGACTCCCATTATTTCAGTGTTGGTTCAAAAGATCAGTAGTGTGTGTGGCAAAATACATATTGGATTGGATTATATACAGTGGGGTATATTAATTAGCCTGGCTGCCTCATCATGAAAGTGGTATCAAGTATCAATGATATGGTCTTTCTTAACGCTGACTCTCATTTCTGGAATGCCCGAGATCCCCAACCATTGAGGGCAGGCATGGGCAAACCCAGGTTTGCAGACCAGACGCGGATCATTGGGCTCTTCCCTCTGGCTCTCATGTGACTCCACCCTCTTATCAACATGTAGACACAGCAGCTCGCCAAATCCCCAGGCTGAGAGGAGGACTAAGGCAGACACCCGTGGCTGTCGAGAGCTCTCAGCGGCAACATGTCTCCTCCTCCTCTCAGCCTGGGGGTGTGGCAGGCTGCTGCACTCCCAGGCTGAGAGGAGGACCATCCCTTCAGGTGACGATCACCTCCATGCTAACCCCCCCCTCCTGCCTACCGCCTCCCTCCCAGCCTGGTCTGGGCTGGCTGCTCAGCCCCATCACGTTATGTGACCCCCACCCAAAAAAGTTTGCCCTTGCCTGATTGAGAGGCAAGTGAACCTGTACTAGACCACTTTCTGTGCCATAATTTTTTTTCTAGTGAACATAAACTTAAACATCTCTGATCATGATGTAGTCTCCTCTGGTTTACAGTTTCTGACAGATAAACTTTATTCCACCTTTTCATCAAAGAACTCATTGTGTGTGTGGAGGGCCTACATTACTCCGTGAAACATAGGTTGGAATGAGCAAGGGTGACTGCCTAGTGTCAAAAGTAAGCATTCCCTGGTCCAAATTCAATTCTGTTCAGTACATGTCATTTACTTTAAGGTATAAAACGGGAATAGTATGCTTCCCTCCCACAACATTTTCGCATTATAACAGCTATCATTGGTGTTCTATGGGTCATCTGATATCTGCTTTACAACTCTATCAAAAGCCTCTTCAGATTAGCAAAGGGAGGGATTCTCCATATTGACATTAGATATAGTCAAAGGGCCTGTGGTTGGAAGAAGGAAGTTCCTGGCGTTCTTTGGAATATCTGCACTGTTTTCATTGTTTTCTTTGAGTTTACAAATCATTCACTCAATATCTTTGTGTGAAATCATTTGCATACTTGTTAGCTTTCTCTAGGACAGTTTTCCAAGTATTGTAGCTCTTGGTTTCATCATCTTTATTATATTCATGTACTGATCCTTTCCCTGCCACGTGCTTCTGCTGTTTTGTTATCCAGAATTAACATCATTATAAGAATTTTTAAAAACTAGATTTTCTCAGTTTCTTTGATTTTTAGCCAACCTGTTTTCCCTGTCCCTCACGAATTGCTCTGGCAAAATACTCTTTTTTAAAACGCCACATTACTTAATGGAACATCACAATGCTGGGACCAAAGCTACAGTTTGTTGGAGTTGATTAGCAACTTAATTACCCATGAGAACTAAGTAGTTATTTTAAAATGTGAATATTGCAATCCAGTAATCTTCCTTATGGAATGATTAGTGTAACTATTGGCTAGATTGATACTAGCTTGGCTCCAAAATGAAATTATATTATTCTGGCACTCCTTAGCTGTTGTCATAACTTTAGACATTACTTTATGCAACACTTGTGTGCATTTTGTTTTGGGCTAGAATTCCAAGGCACAGCTTTTACTGTGCTTATCTCATCAACCTCATTTATTCCAAATGCTGAAAAGGTTTATTGACAGGCATATGTCACATGCCTCTAAAGCAGTCTAACAAAAAATTATCTTCAAAAACTTCTTAAGTAACCTTTTGGAGCATAAGCTGAGAACTGGTGAGAAAGAGAGAGACAAAGCCAAAGATGCTCTCAGGATAGACTTCAAAGAGAAAAATTGCTTTGTGACAGTTTTTGTGAACAATTTCATTACGAAGTTGTGTCTACCCTCTGGGGCCCGAGGCCCTGTATCCAAATTATAAAGTGAAACTGAATTCTCAAGTAGTTGAGAATAACCACTGTTGGCTTCCACAATCTGAGTTGCAATTATGATTCAGTGATGTGACGCAAAGTTTTTTGAGAGTTCATGACATTTCAGCTTGCGTGGGATCCTGTGTAACTTAGAGAAAGAGCTGCACAACTGGGAGGTCTAAATATCTATTTCACAAATAGAAACATCTTATGCTTCATGGCAAAGTTCATTTGAAACCATGGGAATAATTTGAAAAGTAGTCTGTGATATGACACAGTTATTCATGTCCAGGTAGTGAAGATAGAGCAAGTGGATTGCCGTCTAGGGCTTTCTTATTATAACATGTCCATTTTCTCTGCTTATAATTTGGTTCTCACATTTTAAAACTCCCATTGGTTGCTCTCCTTTCACCAGCAGGAAATAGCCAAAGGAGTAGCAGTCTTTCATTAAAAAAAAGAGATTTTGTGTGATGCCACACTCGCATTCAACTGCTCTCAACTAATATGGAGGACAGATGTACAAGAACATTTATTTGAAGACTTCTTGTCCCCAATGAATTTTAATTTATGTGTCAGTAGATACAAGGCTGGTTGTGAAATGACACGAAGACAATCAGTTCTAACCCCTCTTAGTAGACAGATTGGACCTAGATGGGACAAAGAGATCTAAAGAAGTCATCACATGGATATAAAATAGCTTGTTCAACTATACTGGTTTCTCATAGTTTCAAAGACTTTTAATCCAACTTTCTAATCATATATAAGTTGAATAAGCAGTCTTGAAGCCTAGGGCATCATTAATGTATGATAAAGGAGATATGACTAATCAGGGGTTCAGCTATGGGAGCTTATCTCTGAAAATAAGAATTATGCCTCCTCAAATGAAATTTTCCTTTAGTTTCCAAATTTATTGTGGAGAGTGATACATTGAAAACTACAAATACCCTTATTTATTTATTTATTTATTTATTTATTTATTTACTGCATTTCTATTCCGCCTTTCTCAGCCTGAAGGCAACTCAAAGTGGCTCATGTATCTGCTGGACATGCATTTCCTTGGAAACTTTGCCAGCCCCTTTCTCTTGGATACCTGAACTGTATTACTAAAAAACCAAGTTCCTAAGGTAGAGCAGTCTCTAAAGCACTAGCTCCCAATTTTTGGCCCTTCAGATGTTTTGGACTTCAGCTTCAGAATCTCTGCTCATTGATCCTTCCTTCTCAGGGTTCTGGAAGCTGAAGCCTAGAACACCTAGACGATGAAAAGTTGAGGACTTCCATGATACTGAATGGGAGCAAAGTATAGAGTCAAGAGAGTCAGAAAGGTCAGTTCTTCCATCAGAGCAAATTTGGGATTAATTGTTGGCTGATGTTGGAGTCTTTTGAGACCAAAGGCCTATTCAAAGTTTAACTTACAGATTTACTGGAATACTTAATAATACTTTCTGTAGGTTTGTTCTTAAGTTGAATTTGTATGTAAGTCAGAACAGGTACATTTTTAAAGTGTAACCCCTGTTTCAGTATCAATATAGAAGCATTGAGGGCTTTATAGGACAAGGAAATGACTTTTGGTATATGTAAGGGCTATGGGTGCATTGTCCCTCCCTGAAGCTAGAATTTAAGAAAGCCAAAGTGAAGCTACTTCACTGATGACAGATTAATGCAACTCATGAACATGAGCTAAAGATCAGCATTGTTTGATGGATGTGTTGCATCAACAAGATATTAACAGAGAAATATTTTCAAAACACATGACTTTCCGTGTTGTCTGACCTAATCACATTTTTGCCTTTCATTTGCTGAAATCTGAAAGTCTCTAGAATTACAAAAACCTATATCTTGGTACCAGGATTCCATTTTACTTGTGTTTATATCATAACAAAGGCAGAACTGCTATTTTTACTTTCTATTTTTCTTCTCTTGTTCAAGAAAGGATTATGAAGCATGGCATTATGTAATAATCAACAGTTTATTTAATGGGCCAAAACTTATTTAATTAAACCCTAAATATTTGCTGGAAATTACAGTTAACTTTCCTTTTGTACCAGTTGTGTCATCACATTGATTTCCAGTTGTTTTTAACCTAAATCCAGTATGAGGTTTGTACATATAACATCATTCCCTTCCGTTTTCTTACCCCTGAAAACTGACTTCAGTGGGTTTCTTAGTACTCCAGAGCAGGGCTTTGAGGTGCATGGGTGGGAGTTCCTGTGGAAAGGGCCGATTCCTCCCTCTTACTTGTTCTGGCATTTGTTGAACTCATTGTTGAAGATGAGGACTCTTGTGGACCTCAAAAGCAGCCTTGGTGAGTCACATACAGCTTTGCCTATACCTTGTTGGTTTTTTAAAATCCTATGCACATTTCATTGGGAGGAAACCCAACACAACAAAACTGGATAGACTTCCATGTACTGTATATACTTGAGTATAAGCCAACCTGAATATAATCTGAGGCACCTAATTTTACCACAAAAAATGGAAAACTTATTGACTCAAGTATAAGCCAAGGGTGGGAAATGCAGCAACTAATGGTAAATTTCAAAAATAAAAATAGATATAAACAAAATTACTATATATACTCAAGTATAAGCTGGCCCAAATGCAAGCCAAGGGAGTTTCTTTAGCCTTAAAAATCTGCTGAAAAACTCGGCTTATACTCGAGTATGTACGATAAATATGCTTGGGTTTGAATTACATTTTTTCCCTTTTAAACTGATGAACAGAACCATGCCAATGATAAAATCTTAGCATTTCTCTCACATCATGCAAAATCTTCTTCTTTTAACAGGAAGAATTCTGAATCGTTTCTCCAAAGACATTGGCCACCTGGATGACTTGCTTCCATTAACATTTCTGGACTTTGTACAGGTAATCACAAGTTGATAGAAGCTGATGTTATGGATATTGAGCTTTTGGGATCGAGGATCTAAAGGTGCACATTTTGCTAATTTGATGACGTATATTTAGTTATATGATTATTTTTGTTGAATTTTTATGTTATGTAATTTTTGCCGCTTTTAACCATTGTACGCTGTTTTGAATCCCATCCATTGGAGAAAAGCGGGATAAAAATTAATTAATTAATTAACCACCACCACCACCACCATCAACATCATCATCTCCTTTGGGTTTAATGAAAAGACTTGTTTAGAAAGGGTGTAGTCAAAAACAGGGAGTGAGGTGCATTGCAGGGGGAGGGAAAAGGAGAAGAAATGAGTAATAAGTGGTGGGTAGGAGTGGTTCCCTGTAGCTTACCATTATGTTGAAGTTTCACAGCTTACACTCTTGGTTAAATTGCACCTCAGTTGCCTTCGAGCCATTTGGCAAGCTTGCTGCAGTGTTATGAAATATGTCCACAGTAAAGAAACAATCAGCTCACATGAAAAGATAGCACTGATTAACCTAATTATGCATGTACTTCCTCAAAGAAGTCAATGTTTGCCACACTGTTTTGGATTAAAACAGGTGTGGCTATTTACAAAGAAGAGATTAGCAATAATAGGGCTGAAAATAATAGCTGTAATGAGAACAAAAGGGAAACGTTGTCATAAATACAAAAAAGACAGAAAGGGATTTTGAGAGAGAGAGAGAAAGAGAGATGTCTTTTCACAAAAGATGTTCTTGTCAAGGAAGTGGTGACAGATTAGCAACGTTATCAGGAAACAATATAGAAAACAAACACACAGGAACACATTTCACAGATTATTTCAGGGCATTTTGGAGAAGGGTGGGGGTGATCCACTTATCTCAGGATATTCTTATAGGACCACATTGTTTTCTGCTTTACCTTAGGAAGTGAGCCTTTATTGTGAGTGTACCTTTTGTGATCAAGGAGTGAACATACTCTGAAATACTACTTTTAGGACTAGCATCTGCAGGCAGAGGAGCCAGGAAATTATGGGGGTGGTACTTCAGAAGCCAGTGTTTCCAGACATTGCTCCAGTAACATACTGCATATAGTTGTGCAGAGGTCTAGAAATGTTTGTCAAAAATAGACTATGGCATAGCTCCAAATTAATGTAGGTACTTTACCTTAAATCTTACAAAAAAGACCCATCCTTTTCAAATGCCTAAATGGAAAAATGTCAGCAGCTACCCCCAAGGCAGTGCTGGCACTTCCCTTCTATGCAGAATGATCCCCAGATCATATCAAAATCCATAATTCTGGCTTCAAAACCTGTCCTTGACTTATACACGAAACTGATTTATATATGGGCATATACAGTAGTTGAGATCTTATACACCTTTGCACTATCCCTCTTAGCAGTTGACTGTGTTGTTAACCACAGTGCCACCTTTTGACCAGTTTTCAAAGGCTGGACAAGCTACAGTCCATTCGGGGGATTTGGGGTATCGAGAACATAATGACACCAGTCTGGCTGGCTCTGGCCAAGAAGACTGGCAGCAAGGGCTTAGGCTTTGGTTTGTGAAAGTTACCTTGTTGGTGAAAAGAGGCCATTTTGACCTCTGGTCATGCAGCTTGGTCTAGGAATAATACAACGTGCTCCTTGAGGGAGGGAGAACGGAGCTTTATTTTGAATGATGGAAAATTACCTCCCTGGGAAGACAGGCCACCCACCAACAGTATGTCTTGACAGAACTGAGTTTCAGCTTTATTATTCCTCATGGAGTCCATTGCTGATCCCAGACACTGATTAGCATTTCTACTGCATCACCTGAATCAGATGAGCAAGAGAAGTAGAACAGCATAGTGATGACACCTCATTCCATATTCCTGGGTAAACTTGTTCACTGTCTTCATTTAGATTCCAAAGTGAGTGTGAGATGAGATTGCTGTTTGTGGGATGTCACAGCACAAGTGTCATGGGATGAGTACATGCTGGTTAGAAGTGTCCATTGACAAACCTCTGAGACTTGATGTCCTTATTGTTGTCCAGCATGGGCTCAGGCTATGCTTTACTTGGAAGTTAAAGAGTGTGTCAAGTACACGCTCTTCCTGTAACTTCCCAGGGTGGTTCTGTGCACTAGCACCAAAATAAGCAAGAAGAACACATAGTATAGAGAGAATGTTGAGTCTAGAGAGAATTAATGCAAGAAACGGTTTCTGAGACCCTCATCCTTACCTCTTGATTACTCAGTTCATGTAACACACATACCAATAGACTTCCAAGAATAAATGGTAGGCTGAAATCCTGGTACCTCACCTGCTCAGGGCAGTCTCACCTTCCCATGAAGCAGGGTGAAATTTTTGTTCAGGAGATCATGAAGGGTGGTAGATGATGAACTCCTTCTGTTCCAGTTTTGTCACGTGGTATTTCTATGCAGTATAACCTATCAGAGAGAAGTATTGTTGAAGGCTTTCATGGAATCACTGGGTTGGTGTAGGTTTTTCGGGTTGTATGGCCTTGTTCTAGAAGCATTCTCTCCTGATGTTTTGCCTGCATCTGTGGCAAGCATCCTCAGAGGTTGTGAAGATGCTTGCTACAGATACAGTGAAATGTCAGGAGAGAATTCTTCTAGAACATGGCCATATAACCCAAAAACCCTCAACCTCACAATCTTTGAGGATGCTTGCCACAGATGCAGGTGAAACGTCAGGAGAGAAAGCTTCTACAACATGGCATATAACCCGAAAAATCTACAACAACCCTATCAGAGAGAAGCATTAGGCTGAAGGAATCTATAGCACTCACCTGGACTGAATGCTGTGCCATTCCTTAGAGCCTTTTAAGTAAAGGGTCCTAAGAGACTGTGGCACTACTCTTTATGGCCAACTCCTTCACACCCACAGTTTATTATTTATTTATTTCAGGGGGACTCAGGTCAGCTTACAACTGGCAACTATTAGATGCCAACAACAATAATAAAAACACAGTTAAACATTAATTAAAACATCATCATAAGTTTAAAAGATCATTTAAAAGAGACAAAACCAAGGCCAAGTCCAGAGTCATAATTCAAAATCCATCTATTGTCAATCACATGATTCCTTTATAATTGTTACTGCTGGAACTGCTGCTCGAAAGCTTGGTCCCACAGCCATGACTTTAATTTCTTCTGAAGGATAGGAGAAAGGGGGCTGACCTGATTTCATTAGGGAGTGTGTTCCACAGACGGAAGGGTCACCACCGAGAAGATCCTGTCCCTCGTCCCTGCCAGATGCACCTGTGAAGGTGGCGGGTTCGAGAGCAAGGCCTCCCCCGATGATCTGAAAATATTCTCCCAAAATAAAAAAGCTCCAAAACAAGCCTTGATTTTGCCATTTTATAATAAGGGATCGCCCTTTTGCTATGCCATCTTCTATAATGGGATTTGAGTATTCATGTATTTTGATACTGAATGGAAACCACCTGGGTAAGTACCTTGCTCAGGAAGAGGGTATTAGGGACTAGCCACTAATTCCTATACTAGCAGTATTATTAATCAATGTAGTAAGTAGCTGGGGAAGCAAAGTGCAGAGAGGATCCTAATTTGAAGGCGTGAAAGGCATTTCTTTTCTACCAGGGTTTCTTGGGAATTGTTTAAGTCAAAAATAGACCCTTCACTTCCTCAAATGTAGTAGACTTTGATTTAATCTGCATTGATGGGGATTAGTAAATTCCAGTCAAATGTAGTTTCTGGTTGAATGAGATTTAATATTTTAAAAGTCTACCTAATACTATAACCGATACTATACCATGCCATAAACCCTGTATCTATTTGATATAAACCTGAAAGACAATAATTAAAAGCAAATCAAGACAAATCAAGACAAACTTAATGTAACACAGTTTTAATGTAATATAAAAATGTGCAATTTAACTTAAATAGCAATCAATAAACTTTTGCCGGTTGCTTGAGATTTCTGGTTGCTTAAATTCCAGTTAACTGAGAGTTGACTGTATAATTAAGGCAAATGAAAATGGGTTCAGATGTTTGCAGGCAATTCAACTCAGCAGTCTAAGAAGGAGAACGAAAAACAACAGATCCAGAAACGTTCATTGTGCTACTAAAGTTTACCACACTGAACTTCAGTATTGACAAGTCAAAATGGAGGTGAAGCATTTGGCCAACCAGTGTTATGTGATTACAGCTCCGCTAAACATGTGGATTCGGGGCCTAAAGTTACGGGCTTATGAGTTAGGACCAGATAAGACACAGACACGATGAAGGCAAAATCAGAGTATTTATTCTCAGTGGCCAGAGAGAACTGGCATACTCCAATGCAAACATTCAGAAAAATTTGTAGCACTTTGACAGCAGTTTGAAACAAAAGACTTATGCTGCCCTGCATGTCGATTGGTCCAGCTGGTGGCAGGCTAGGATCTGCAGGCTGGTTGGCTGGGATGTGTTGTTTGTTGTTGTTGTCAATTGGCCTCCAGAACTGTAATAACTTGTCATTGCTCGGTTTGAAGTTTTTTGGCTGTTTTTGGTGTTGCCTCTCATGGGGTGTGTGAAGGAAAGAATGTGGGTGTATTTGGGGTGATGGCTGCTAATGATGATAGTGTCCCTAGCCTGGGGAGGACAATGGTCCATACTTGTGAAACAATGGGTTGCAATGGGTGTTAGCTAGCCTGAATTGGTTCTCAGGAGGAGGACAAAAGAGGGTGTTGGGTAACTTCTGTGACCTCTGGTTTGGCTCTATTGTTAGATGTGTGGATTCATTGTTAGGGGATTATGGTGATTGTAGTGTTATCTCCTGAAGTCCTTGGTATGGTGGAGCAAATTCCAATGAAATTCATGAATGGGTACTAGTAGATAAGGAAAATTCGAATGCGCGCTGGCTGTATATCTCAATGGAGCCACAAATAAAAATTCATAATTTGGGGATCTGATTTCTCGAAACCAGTGCCGCCAAATGTTTGACTGACACGATCTTTCCATCATTCTTTTCCACCGTTACCATTAGGATACAATACTGGCCAGCT